ACATATAATATAATCATATATCATTTCATATAAATAAAATACATACATATACAAACACTATCAATAATCCTTTCCACTTACCATATACTCATCATATAACACATATAATTCATGTATGTGCATTCATATCATTGAGTCACTACATATCAATATGCATGAATCTATGGTATGATAACAATATACAATCAGGTCATGCACACATGCAACTTACCTTCTTTTATCACTTTCACTTTCAATTGTCTGTCAATTTCATTGCCCATGTATATTATTGAGAATAGAGGTATGTGAGTACATTGAGGTTGTGCACTAATGCTGTCACCACAGCTCGTATAAATGTCCCGAAGGACCTATCCAGAGGTCACACAGACCCCGGTAACTATCCAGAGGTCATAAAGAACCTCGGCAACTGTCCATAGGTCCCAAAGAACCTAGGTAACTGTCCACATGTTCCTTAGAACATAGGTATACTGTCCATATGTCTCGAAAGACATAGGTAAAACCCTCGACTCTTGGCATGCCAACTATACCTATAGCTCTCGTATCATATACTATGGGCATTTATTTATACATTTCGTATCACTTGTTCTTTCTCTTCTGTCACATATCACATGTATGTGTAACCATATATCTCATATCATATCACATGTATTATATATATACATGTATTCGTGTAAATCATTTCATGTAATTCATATCACGTATATCACATGTGCATATAAGCTTATAGCTTCTTTCACATATACATGTAGTCACATAGCTTTCTTTCATGTAACCATGCATGTCATGTCAAATAACATATATCATATGTTGCATTTTCACTTAAGCATATAAATCATATAACATAGCATCCATCTATTTCTATGTATTAATGCATACATGGTAATCACATAACAATTTAGAAGTTACTTATTACCATAGTAACTCCATCACTGGCTCATCACAAGCCAATGTTAATTCAATAAAATAAGTACAAAATAAATTGCACTCACCTTAGCTTTGATTTGATTCGATTCTAATTCCTCAATTGTCCCGAAACGGATCACTTTCTATCTCTACATAACAATACACAGATTCATATCAATATTCCAATTGATATATTCTAAACTGTCACTTCTTAGGCTAAGAGAAAAGCCCATTTCCTCTTTCAATGAATGTATGCATCGATGCACTACTTGTGCATTGGTGCATAAAATGCATTCGATGTTTTTATTTAATGGGGATGCATCGATGCACTCCTTATGCATCGATGCATAAATCCTATTCGATGTTTTCTATTTAAAATCATGCATCGATGCACTGCATGTGCATCGATGCACCTTAAACAATTTCTGGTATTTATCATCGATGCATCGGTGCACAATGAATATGCATCGATGCACATTGCCCAGAACTGACATTTTAACACGTAAATCATCAACTCTTCCCTTAATTCTTCTATTTTAAGCCCCTATTTTGACATTAAACTCAACTACTATAACTTGAACCAACTTATATCCATGTAAATCATCTTTATCCTCAAAATCCTATCTTCTTTATGAGATTCAAGAATCATACCAAATTTTCTATATGATCTAAATCCAATTCTATCACTCCAAATCTCTTAATTTAACCATTGACAAGTCAAATTGAACTTCCAATCTAAGAAATGAACTTTATTCCAAGATTTCATTTGTAAACTCTAAATCTTTAATCTCTCCTAACTCCACCATCCTTTGCTTTAAAGATGATTTAAGCTTTCCTTAAGCTTAGTTATCATCTAATAATTAAAACCCAACCTTAAAATCAACAATTCAATTATAAACAAAGAAACTTACCTTTGGCTCTTGGCTTCCCCGTGAAGAAGAAGAAGAAGAAAGGAAAAGAGAACTCTGGAGAATTCTCTCCCTTTCCACGTGCCTTTATCCTTACCAATCCCATTTTTTATTCATTTCTTGGTCAATTGACCCTTTTGCCCTTTATTTCATTTACTAATTACTAAATAACCTTCATCTTATATATCCAATAATCATTGAATTATTTCATTCTTATACTTTAGTCACTAAATTCTGAAACTTTACAATTTGGTCACTAACCCGATATTGCGGATGTTACAGTACTATTTGGTTGGAGTTGAAATTGATTCTTCAACTATGACAACTTCACACGCCACCATTTACACTCCTACATTTTCCCAAGAAACGCACTGCAAAGTTATCCCACATTATTGTACTCATGTTGCAGTACCACCGGTATCCCATTTGTTTGGACCCTAAGTTGCATTGCCACATCCTCTAGAGTTATCGTACATTCTCCACACGGCAAATGAAATGTGTGCGTTTATGATCTCAAACGTTCAATCAACGCACTAATCAAACCTGGGACCAACCTGTATTCTTGCAAAAATGTTACATACTAAAATCCAACATGTTGCAAGTTTTCTTTTATCAATCGGTGTGGCTTTGGCGGAATATTTGGCCGATGACGAAGGACTCACTGCTCGTCCTCCTGCAATTAATTATTTCAAAAAATTTATCACAATCATAAATTAATATTCAAATATTTAATAATAAAAATTCATTAATTTTTTTTATTTTACTAAATAAGAATAACACAATTATTCCCATATGAGTAGAAATATGTTCATTGTCAAGTCTCAAAAGTAGAATTTGGTCAGCCATTCGAATGAATCTATAAAAAAAATTAAACAACAATATTTAAAAATCATTTAATATAATCTAATGTTAACTAACTAGTTTACACTACACAATAACAAAAAATAACAAATTATAATTTAAACTAATAAACTATTTTTTATTATAATCCAACTTAACTTAACTTAAACTAAAAAACTAATTAACTAGTTTTTTTCATATAATATAACATCAACAAACTAATATAAATTAAATGACATATAATAAATAATTTAATATAATTTAAACTATAACTATTTTTAATAAAATAGCGACATATAATAAACCATGTATATTAATTTAATATAATTCAACAAACAAATTAAATATAATTCTTCAACATTAATATAACTTAAACTAACAAAGTAATTAACTAAAATTTTGTTATATGATATAACTAACCTAAACTATGCCTACTAACTAACTAATTAAAAATAATTTAAAACAATTTAAATTATGCTCGGTTACCTTTCTTTCTTTCTTCTTACAATCGAACCGCCCCTCACACGAATATATAGCAACAAGCCTATTGCCATTCCCTAAACCCTACCCGTGAATTATTGCAGTAATAATTTGAATGAGCAATAATTTCTGGTTCACCCGTGTAATGTTGCATTATAACTGCATGCATAAGAGGAATCACACAAGGGAACAGCAGCCACAACATGAATTAATGTTGCATACATGAGGGAGACAGATCGAACTATTGTTGCAAATAACGCCTGTAATTTATGTGAATTATTGGTGCAAACAACGTCAAAATTTTACGTAAAATTATTGTTGCATTTCTTGAAATAGGGAGACAGGGCGTTGATTCAGGAGGGAAGGGGGCCACAAGTGTCGATTGCAGCATATTCACAACCATTCTTGGAATGGCCTGCATGGCGACCAATACAAACACTGTATCATTCGCACCATTTGAACAATTAATTATTGGAGAGAATTATCACGTGAATTTTTTTTCACTGCATTTTTTTATTGAGTTTAGCCGTCATCATCTATATATTAAGATTATCAACAAATATTAAATATAATGAGAAGTCATATCATATTTTAAAAAGGAAGATATTTATGAGAATAAAAAAAATTTAAATCCCAAACATGAATTATAAATAAAATGTAAACTAAAAAAAATAAAGGAACTTTGTTTCACTGAAAACATTTTATAAAAAACGATTTTTTGTAAAATAAATTACATTTTTTTTAAAAATATTTTATGAAAAACATTTTACGTGTTTGAAAGATGTTGTGTAAATCATTTAACCATTTTTCACTAGCTGATAAATTTTTTAGAAATTATTTATTACAAATATCAAATACAAAAAATAATATTATTTATTATAAAAAACTTAATATTATTATTTTTAAAATATAAGAATAATTTATTTAATGTTATATATGTTAATATTATTATAAAATATTGTTTTTTCAATTTTATACATAAAATATTAAGACTAGTATGTTCTATTAAAATAAAAATTATATTATATATTTATTAAACTTAAAAATATTATATTATATTTTAAAAATTATTAATAAATATATTTTAATTATTTTTATTAAAATATTATTAGACTATTATATTAATATTAAATGCATTATTATTTTTTTGTTGTCCGACCCGTGTCGCACACCTGACTTTGGTTGGTGAGTCTCCCACCAGAGATTTTCTGCATATACAAGGATTCGAACTTAAGAAATTATTTAAGCGATATCAAATTGCTTATATCTTAAACCATCTATTGATGATTCAATGATAATTTTTATAAAGTTAATAAATAATATAAATTTATTAATAATTTATTATATTGTTGAAATAAGAATAAACTATCATATATTATTATAATATAACTAACTATATTATTGTAATAATAAAAATAATATTATTATATTTTAATAAATGTATTTTAAATATTGTAATAAAATATTATTTTAATATTAAATATATTAAATAATATTAATTTAAATAATTACGTTTTAAAATAAAAAAACTTAAAAAAACTTACGAAAAGTAAAACAAAAAGTCATTTAAATATATATATATATATATATAATTTTATTGATTAGGAAAATAATTTACATTGATTAGCTTATTTTTTTATCAATTAAACATTTAAATAAATATTTTTCAAAAAATGTTTTACATGAAATAAGGGTGGCCCGAACACCAAACACCAACCACACGGACCCTAACTGTGCTTTTCATTTCACCAATTCCAGCTTTAACCAGGCTTTTTATTTCTTAATAATTTTCCTTTTTTGGGTTTTGCAGGGTTATTTTCGTCAATTCATTGACCCTATTTAATCTACTGGTATATGTTAGGATACGTGCATTCCATAAATCTTCAGCTCTGTCTGTAAGCCTCAATTATCTCAGTTCCGGAAGGGGAAATAAATTTCAGACTTAAAAACATCCCTTTCTCTATCTGCAAGCTTAAGGATTGTTGGAACAATTGTGTGTTTCCTTTGATTGAGATTTTTGAGTGTCCTATCCTTTCTTCTTTTCGGTAAGCTGTCAGCTTCTTTGATCCTGTTCACTTCCACGTTTCATTTACTTTGTTCTGTTGCTGTGATTTTTAGCTTATCGTTTTTAGTGTTAATCCCTCTTTGCAGGGTTCTGGGGTTTTTTTTTTTTGGGGGGAGCGTTGCGAAGAGAAGTAAACACTGGCTATTTGCAGTGAAGAAGTAACACCATGCGTTGGTGGTTGAGTCTTTCAGTTGACGCGTTTCTAAAAGTCATCTCCTTGAACTTGTAGGGTGATTCTGTAATTCCATAATCCAGCTTCTTCAAGATTCACCTTTTTTTGTTATTGTTTTATTTAGTATTTGTGTTCTGTCCTCCATCATGGGATCCACTCTTTTCATCGTCGTTCCATGTTATGTCCGCCAGATTAGCTGACAATCTTCAAACACATCGCTCAGATTTCTAACCCAACAATTATAATTCCATAGTAGTAGTTGTTGTTCGGTTTCTTTGATCTAGAATACGGATCCTGGGGTTTTGAATACGTTTTCGTACGTGGAAGACCCTCTCTTTTGGTGCAATATTGAAGGGTTAGGACGTAGTTATGGTGTGCCAAGCAGCGAGCCAAACAAGATTCCGGGCATTGAAGTATGAGAATGGTATTGCTGGGAGTGCCACCATTGTAGTTAGAGTCATAGCATGCTTTCAACCCCTTCAGGATTGCCAGGTTTGTTTGTTTTTCCCCCTCCCCCAAGAATTCCTGAAAGAATTAGATGCCGTCTTGTTTGGCGACGTTTACATTTCATTGGTTCGTATTTGTTTTATGTAACGTATGAGATTCCTTGTTCTATTATTATATTTTGAATTCCCTTTCTTGCGTTTTTCTTTTCCAGGCTGAATATTTCCGTCATTTGCTTAAGCCAGTTACGTAGGTTGCTTTTTACATTTTCGCGTTCAAGTTAAGATGAAGTTTTTAGTTTTCTTTCCGCCCTTTGTTTTTGAGAGAAACTGCAAGTGAACTGCCATTTCCACTGCTACAATATTCGATTTCTGGTATGTAGCGCTACTTCCACTGCTTGTTTTTTTTAATATCTGCGTTTTTCGAATATCCTTCTTAGGTTCACACCGTGTTTTTCTTTAGGTGATTGATCTTGTTGAATTTGATCGGCAATCACCCAACTTGAACTCTTTGTCCTCTCCACCTTCTTTTGGGATGCAAAGTAGTAATCCTCCATTCATGAACTTTGGCACTAATATGGTGTCCACGGCCCGGACTTATCCGGTTCATGCGGATCCAGAATTACCTTGCTTACGGGTTAGCCAAGGTACTGAACCTCGTGGCTGGTTTTACTGTTTACCCCGCTTTCGACAGGCCTTTGCACCTGCTTCAAACTCTTTCTTGAAAGAGCAACCAGCCCCGGCTAACCCATGTAACAATTGTAAAGGAAGTGGTATCCCCAAGGCAGGATCTGCGGTTGCTGAAAAGAGATTCCTTGTTTTCGATCTGACTGGTGATCAAACTACCCTGATTTTTAGTTCTGCTTTTGGGATTCCAACCAAGGGCTTGACTTGTTGTGGTCCAAAATCTCCTGTTGCTGGTAACATTAACGGGGAAGATCCCATAGCTAAAGTAAACGGGAATATTCACTCTGGACCAATATCTAAAGATATTTTTGACGAGGACGGGACTGATATGCGAAGTGAAATGCACGAGGATACTGAAGAACTCAATGCATTGCTTTACTCGGATGATGATAGTGAGTATACCGAGGATGAAGAAGTTATGAGCACTGGTCATTCTCCAAGTTCAATGACTGCACAGGATGAGAAATTTGAGGGAAGCTGTGAAGAGGTTGCTAGCTCCACGAGGCTAACTAAGAAGCGAAAGCTACTTGATGGCAGTAACGATCATTCGCTGTTGCCTATGGATACTGCTAATTCAGGAAATCCTAACCGATATTCAGAATATGCTGATGATGCAGATTCCAGCTGTGCCAGTGGACAAAATCGTGGATCAGGTAACATGGATTATTTTTCAGGCAACAAGAGGATGAGAAAAGATAAAATCCGTGAGACAGTAAGTGTTTTGCGAAGCATAATTCCAGGTGGAGAGGGAAAAGATGCAGTTGTGGTTCTTGATGAAGCTATTGACCATTTGAAATCCCTGAAATACAAAGCCAAAACCTTGGGACTTGGTACTCTGTGAACTGCAACTGTTCTTACAAGTAGTATCAGTGGTAGCTTATGCCATTGTTAATGGAGCCGTGTTAAATAATTACAATGAGTCGCATATATAATTCGTAGTCTTCTAAAATTGAAGGTGTTGATTCTCTTCCCTTCATAAAGTCTTTCTTGTGTCAGTTAAGTTGGAAACCAGTAGAATTGGCTTAGAGAAATGAAGGATGCAGCAGTGTATATTATGTCCCCTTTCCTTTGATGCAGAAAATTGCAGGAGCAAAGAGCCTTCTCCCATTTCTTACCATCTGGTGCATTCCTTGTTTTGTGCCATCATGGAGTCGTGTTTTGTTGTTAAACTCGTGATCTTGTAGTGCTTTGTTGAAATATATTATGATGTGAGCATCCATGGCCGGCATGGGTGTGTTAATGTAATTTAGATTTCCTTTGGTGTAATGTTGTCTTCATGTATTTTTGCCTTTCGTTCGTGCGTTTATGTATGAGACAGCGATGTCTTAAATGGTGCCAAGTAATAGGACCATTAAAGCTGCTGTCGAGCATTATTTCCAGTTTATGACACGTGAAAATTGAATGAGGAAAGAAATAAAACAGTAATTATTATTAAAAGTATATTTTTTAAAGCACTTAAACTATTTTTATTAAAATAATTTCAACTTTAGTTATAAAATAACATTATTAAAATAAAAAATGCATAAAATACTTGTTATTTTTAGAGGTCACGAGTTTAAACACAGTAAGAGTGATTGAATGTTTATTATTAAATATATAAATTAAAAAAAACTCATATTAATTGTAAAGTTTTATTAAAATTTTAGGTAAAAAAGTTAGGAGACAAATTTGAATTCATCTAACAAATTTCACCGACCAAAGCAAAACCTAAATGCCAAATCTTGTAAAAAAAAAATCTAAGCGGCTGTTTGTTTGCCTTTTAATGGAATCATTCAGCGCAGCGTGTTTGTTTCGCACCTCTGAATGATTCAACACAGAAGTACATTCTGAATGATTCAGAGCCATTATCAAATAGCATGTCATATTCAGAGCTAATTCATACAGAGTCCCTGAATCATTCAACATTTGAATCATTCAACGTTTAATAATTATGAAGTAAACAAACAGTCTATAAGACCCGAAAAGAACCCCAAACAACTCAAAATTATTATGAAAAGAAAATTAGTTAAGGAAAATCAAAATAGATGGAATTACAAATCAAATTGATAGGATATTAAAATATTGAGGGTAATTTTTTTTAGCATTAATAAAATAAATAAAATGTAAAAGTTTTTATATATATATATTTAATTTAGAGTGATAACAAAATAATATTCGTACTAAAGATTCTCTGGTGCTCGAACTTGAGATTTTTAAGGATAACAATCATCCCTTTAACTACTGAGGTAATTTGGTTCGTGTAATTTAAAATATATTTAATTAAATAATTATTTTTTTCATAATTGGATCTAAAAAACTAATTATAATCATTAGAATATTTGCGTAGTTTAACCTAAAAGAAGTTAAAAGCCGAGAATCAAGGCGGGAGTTCCATGGGCTTACTTACTGGGCTACTTTGCCCATTTACCAATTCCCCTTCTCCAAACAAAGCTCTCCGTCGCAACCCAACACAGCTCTTCTTATTTTTATTAATTTGTTTTTTTCTTTTTCCTCCGAAATCATGAGAATCACTACACAGTAAACAAACATGAAGGAATCAGCGCATTTGATCATTTGTTTACTTTGATGCGTCAAGAATTATAGCGTTGTCGAAATTCAAAACGAATAGAAAACCAGTCTGAGCTTCTAAAAGTTGACGGGAACCGTTTTCGGCATTCGGAATCGCTTTTGATCATAGCCGATTACCAGCTTCACTGCAGATCGGAGCTAGGGTTTTCGAGTATCTTTCCAGTTTCTTTCTTTGTTTTTAATCAAGAAACTCGATGGAGGAGTGGCCGTTCCATGACGGCAACGTGCACAATCTACTCAAGAACAGGCACATCGACACTGGTCACGTATCTCATCTCTCTTTCTTCGCAACAACTTGTTTTTATGGTTTTCAGTTCTTAGGAATAGCGGAATTATTTTCTTTTTCAATTTATTTGATATTTAATTGAGAAATCCAGAAAATGCTACATTGTTACCGGAATTTTATATATATGCTTATTACTTAAATTCTCATCAAGAATCGATGTGCATGAGCCTAATGCCTAATGGTTTTTTTTTCTTTCTTGTTATTTTAATTTCCCCTCGAATCGCGCTGATAGTTTAACTCTAACATTACTTAATCTTTATTGGTTTCTGGTAATCAATGATTATATCTATTTTTTTTGTTGCAAACTAAAACACGATCAATTTAGAATAATGAATAAGTGCTTTCCTTTTGTTGACTTGCAATGGTGACTGTACTTTATCTAAGAGATTCATTTTTGGTATTTTTGTAGGATGTTGGTCATAGTTTGCAGATGCATTCGTCTCTGATTCATAGGCTTTCAATTGAACAAGAATTGGAGGTTTTTTCAGTTTTCAATTATCTGATATTTGCATTTAAAAAGCGGCCACAGTATTTCATGCTCTTTGATACTTTTTATGCCCACTTTTTTTTCTCGGAATTGGAGGCTGTTTCAGTTTTTTATACTTTTTTTCTCATGGACTATTAGTGGTGTCATCTTACCATTTTTTCTGTTTGAGCAGGGACATCAGGGTTGTGTAAATGATGTGGCTTGGAATTCAAACGGTTCACTTCTGATTTCTGGTTCTGATGATAAACGGGTATGGGATGTCAATGTTTTTCTCTGAGTTTAATAGGTAGCATGAAAGGAACAAAATTTGATAATGGAAAATTTAGCTGAACTATGGTATTGGGGGTTTGTGCTTATGGTGTTGATTGTTTTTCAAGTTTTCCTTGTTTACATTTTAGTTTGGAAAGTGTTTGTGACGTCTTGAGTCTTCTAGTAATCCTTCTGAATCAGGATTATTGGGTTGTGTATTCATTTTTAATGATTCATATAAACACTTTATACAGCATCTGAAAGGTTTCAATATTACTTTTTAGAACATATAAAAACATCTCGCCTTTTCACCTAAGAAATGATTTTTATGCTTTGTAGTATGGCATACAATGTTGATTTATGGCTTCTAGTTTTGTAATTTTTTGGCACCTATCATCTGTTGATAAGCTGGGTCCAGAATTGTGGTTGAGGGTATTGGTTTTGTGAGAATGTCAGATTTATTAATGAACTATATTTTGCAGATTAATATTTGGAGCTACTGTGGTTGGAAGCTTTTGCATTCTTTAGGGACGGGACATGATTCTAATATATTCTGTAAAAAATTCATTCCTGAAACTTCTGATGAGCTTGTGGTCTCTAGAGCTGGAGATGCAGAGGTAATTCTTTTGTTACATGGTTCAACAAGGTTCCTGTGGTGTATTCTTACCATATTGCTATTAGTTACAATTAGTAACTTGGATGGCTAGTATTTTTGCTGATTCGATTATTTAATTTGTCCTGCTTAAATGGGAGAGGGCTCAATGATGGTGCTATTACTCCATCAGCACTCCATCAGTGTCACGCAAGAAGAGTAAAAAAACTAGCGGTAAGATTTATTGCATAAATGACTGATAAATGGAATAATAATTTAACTGGTCAACAAACGTGGAAAATGGTAAATTGTCAACATTTATTGAGTTACATGGTGAAAATGAGTGTTCTTCTGGTCGCTTCACTTGTCATTGTCTGTACTTATTTCCCAATTCAGGTTGAAGTTGGAAACCCTGATATGGTATGGAGTGCAAGTGAAGATGGAACTCTGAGACAACATGACTCGAGAGGGCACTTCTTGTCCTCCAGCTGGATCTTCTCACCAAGAATGTCACAATGTTCTAGTGAGACTCACATTTTCCTCTCATTCATTCCTATGTTCTAGATACCTATATGAGATCTTTGTTATTATAGTACTTCCTAGCAGTGTGGGTTTTTGATTGTAAATATGATGCTATCTATGAAATACATGCTGGGGAGTGTCAATTTGTTGTCTTCACTAGGCTATAATTGTTGGTGTGTGTAGAAAACAGACTGTAGAAAGAAAACAGACTGTATTGTAGAAAGAAAATAGACTGTATTGTAGAAAATTGACTGTAGGAAAGAGACAAGTCTGTTATTTTATTCTTGCATACTTTCAGTAGAAACATATTACATATTTATATATAAATTATGCCTCTAAACTAGGAAACTCTAAGTTGGGAAAGATATTAATCCTAGGAGATGTAATCCCTTGAAATAAGGGATTGAAAAACAGAAAATAATTACAGAATCTCTTGACAGCTCATTTCTATAATTCCTACACCCCCCCTCAAACTGGTGTATATATGTTGTATATACCCAGTTTGAATGACAGCTCATCAAAAGTCACTAGTGGAAGGGCTTTGGTGAAGATATCTGCAAGCTGTTTCTTCGTCAGAATGTACTGCAGTTGTGCAACTCCATTGTTGACCTTCTCGTAAATAAAATGTCTGTCTATCTCAATGTGTTTCGTTCTATCATGCTGCACTGGGTTTTTTGCTATACTCATAGCTGATTGACTGTCACTAAAAATCTCAAAATTCTTCTTGTCATCTAAGTCCAGTTCTGTGAGCAGTCTTTTAATCCACATCCTTCACATATTCCGAGAGTCATTGCTCTAAACTCTGACTCAACACTACTTCGCGAGACAACGGCTTGTTTCTTACTTCTCCAAGTCACCAAATTACCCCAAACATAGGCACAGTAGCCACTAACTGACCTTCTATTAGTTAATTCACCTCCCCAGCTTGCATCCGTATAAACCTTCACTGTTCTGTCTTGATTTTTTATAAATATAAGTCCAGCTCCTGGGGTAAACTTCAAGAACCTTAGAATTATGTTAATAGCTTCCAAATGTTCTTCTCGAGGATTACTCATATGTTGGCTGACAATGCTCACCGAGTATGCAATATCAGGCATGGTCAGTGAAAGGTAGATCAACTTCCCAACTAACCTTTGGTAGGTTTCCTTGTTTACTGGATTTCCAATCCGGTCCTTGCAAAATTTCAAGCCTGGTTCCATTGGAGTTTCAACTGGTTTGCAGTCGAGCATCCCTGTTTCTGCAAGAAGATCCAAAACATACTTACGCTGGTTTATGACCAGCCCTTCTTCGGACCTTGCAACTTCTATACCCAGGAAATACCTCATACTCCCTAAATCCT